TCCAGTAAATCCTTGGTCGTGAACCATCAGGTGCACGGAAACAACATTAGCAGAAATAAATAGAAAAAAGAATAAGTAATATTACCACAATACTTGATACTTGATACTTATTGCCCCGGTCCAGTGAATCTTTGGTCGTGTGCCATGTGCACGGAAACAACATTAGCAGACATAAACAGAAAAAAAGAATGAGTAATCTTGCCAGAATACTTGATCTCACATCGTGTAATCACCAGTAGCGAAGGCGGAAATTTCTTAAGCAGGACTCTGGTTATTACTGCAGTGCAAGATGTTAGTCCTTCTTTTGGGTTTGATGTCAAACAGCAGTCACCTCAACGCCACTGTAAGTAAAGATTACGGTCTTGAGGCGATTGATCAAAGTTTGCTAGTTGCTACACAACGGCCGGTGACCAACTATGAATTCGGTAAATTACGGCGTAAGAGGAGACGAAACTGTAAGTACTTGGTCAGTACAATAGTTATGGTTCGTTTGGAGCCTGGGAATAGTGGTGGGAGGATAAGAGGAAATTAAGAAATGGGAAATGAAGTCAAACTACGGCTCAAGTTTGCTGTTGTTGTCGTCTTTTTTATATGAAATTTTCTCATTCCGCCTCGGCTTTTCTTGGGACGTAATTAATTTTTTTTAAGTATTTCATGGTTCATTGTGCAATTACTATCATTCAATACTGTTGAAAAGAAAACAAAAACCGCTACATGATCAGGTCTAACGGAGGTCCCTGAAAGATAAGCTTTCAAAAAAAGAAACACCATAGACGTACATTATTTAAAACTTCCTTTTATTTTATTCTACACCAATCACTCCAATATCATTTAAATAGTATGTTTTATTTTAGCCTTGGTCCCATGTTTCTCTCTGCATTCTTGAGGGACTGGGGAGTGATATCCTTTGACATTTTAACTGTAACTGTCATGACAACTGGAAGTTGGTTAGTGCTTTAGGCAAGATATTGAAACTTGTTGTGCCATTAACCATCGAATACACTGAAGAAAACTTTAAAATTGATATTCTATGAATAATGGACAATACAGGCTAGTCACAACATAGAACAGTATACAAAAATGAGCTAACACAAATGTTTGATTCCTTTCTAAAGGAACATTGTTTCTGTATCAATGTGTTATTTGTCACAGACTCTCATCACTCTATCAACCAAGCTCATCTCTGCATGAATCTATTTAGCAAGAATTATTCCAAATCAGAGACCAAATTCTAAACTCTCCATTTAATTATTTTAAACAATCTTGGATCATTGAGTTACATCTGTTGAGTAGAGTTTCCATTCCATGTGTTATATTCATCATCTCTGTTGTGAAGACGGTGAATTCCACCTTCTTTCTTTACAGATGAAACACCACCTGGGACTCTATGACGTACAGTTGAACTGCCATGGAAAAAAAATCAGCAAGAAAGATTGGCATGTATCCTTATGAAGGAAGGAGTTTAGATGTTGTTCATGACTTTGAATTTGACTAAGAGTCTGTTTATTTCATTATTAATATTATTTTGGCCATGTTTTTCTTGTCAAAAAAAAAAAAAGCTTATGACCCCAAATTCACGAAAAGCAATATTCTACTCACTGCTCACTGAAAACAACAATCTAAAACAAGAGACCATCTTTGTTTTATTTGCAAATTGTGATCATTGAATATCAGTCTTGAGACACCAGTGGAAAAATATGTGCACTTTCAAGCATTCACAAGCTGTTTAATTCTCTAAAACTTTCATCTGTCTAACATCAAGCAAAAAAAGACAATGGACAATAAAATCAAATTCTTAAAACTTACTTTAATATCAGGGAATTCTTTTTGCTTTTTCTATTGTGGCTTTTCAGAAAAAAAATTCATTCTTAACACCAACAAGCAAACAGCCAAACCAGTTTGATACAATTGAACAACAAACTATGCAGCTGTTTACAAAAGGTAAATGACCAAAAAAGACTCACTTTGATGGTTGTGACTGTGTGCTGCTGTTTGTTCTCTGTGAAGGAGGATTCTGTGTCCCTCTAGACTGATCCACACTACCAAATAGGAAAGCCTTCAGGAAGTTAATCAATGTGAGCAGAGGTGAAAAAAAATCCATAACAACAGTTCAGGGAATGATGAAGTCCCACATGGAGTGAGGAAATTACTATCTTTCTGTAAAATGACAATTCAGTAAACTGCTTATTTATGTCTTTAAGTTTTGGGAAATTTCTACAAATGATAGGGAGAATGTGGAAATTCACTCAAAGAATTTAAGGAAACATTTCTCACGAATACAATTATAATTAACCAATTAAAATAACAAGAAAAAACAAAAAAGATTGAACATTCATTGGGAATGAAGGAGAAGAAAAAAGCTAAAGTTGGTTGCATGTGGCACCCAAGTTTTCCTAAAACACAACCCTGCTTTGATTTCCTAAAGTTTCAACTTCAATTACCTAACACTAAGTTACAAAAAGTAACCTTTAACTCCCAAGATCTAATTATTAATTCTCCTTTCTAGCTTCCACACATTTCCTTTTAAATGATTGATGAGAATTTGGTGTTTGATCAACATGACAACTTCTACCCGATAACTTTGAGTAATTTCTCATTACCTGTTTGCTGGACAATGTATGGATATTTTAGGGAGAAGTTACATGCCAATCACCTCTGGGAGCTAAAGGGTTAAACAGAACTCATTGGTAGGCCAAGCCATGTGCCAGGTTCACATGAGACAAATATTCACTCTTTTCAATGGATGAATGTTTTAAAAACAACCTAATATTGATCTTAAACTTACCACAGCTACAATTTAAGTGGAACTTGGTGCCAGACCTAACTCAGCCAAAGTCTTTACCAGGTCTTCTTCAGTCAGCTCCTGCCCAAGGTAGGTGGTGTACATTGTTATTGAGCTGGTACTGGGTTCTAGTTGCTGAGAACAATTGAAAAGATCCACATTATTAAAACTTATTTTCTGTAAATTTTCAACAAGTTTACTCACAAAAGAGCTCACTCAAGTTTTGGAGGGGTTTATGGCTGTAAAGACAATTGACAAAAACCAAAAGATCTTGAAGAGAATCTTTGTTTGGACACACACAGGCAAGGTTGCAGAAAATTAAGAATCTAATGCAGACCTAAGAATTGGTATATCTTTGCCATTTCCCACAAAGTCAACTTTCAGATTACTATTTTTTAAACAATTTAGGGTCTTCTCATTCCAAAAGTCCATGATTGGACTAAATATGAAATATTTAAATTTCACCATTTACCTAAGCAGTTCTAAAATGGAATGGGTCAGATGACTTGAGGAGGAATTTTAAGGAAAACTGTTTCTGGCCCCTAAAATAAGAACCTAACAATTATAGTTCCAATACATTTGACAGTGAATTCTCTTCTACTTATCTAAAGAGAATTCCCTGAAAGCTCCCTAGATTTTTCTCATTGTTATACATGTACTTGTAAAAATCAACTACTCACAGTGATGATATACTGTTGGATGGTCTCCAAAGGAGTATCAGGTGGGAAAGAGTTTGTTAACAAACTGCCATCTGGAAGACGAAACTGGAGCCTGGCAGAAATGCTGAGTAAAAACAAAAAGTCTCTGTTACATGTACAGTGCAGTTAATAAAAATACAGTACAACAATGTATAACTAAAGTAATGGCTGATGTTATAAATAACATGTACTTTAATTACTTTTACAAAGTAAGTGAAGGATATTCAAGAACTCTAAGCCTGTACAAATGACATGTTTCATTGCATTTCTACCTTACTTACCACTCAGTCTTTCCCAACCCCTCACTGCCTCCAGTCATGGTAGTTGAAGGTGAGGGTGAGGCAGCTTGAGCATGCTGTCTCTCCTGCACCTCATTCTGTCATCTAGCTTCCCTTTCTGCTTTATCTCTAGCAATCTGCTGCCGCACAGCTTCCCTGTGGGCACACTCTTTACTCTTTGGCTCTGTTTTCTTTGATTTGATTCACAAAAAATTATTTTGTGCCTGTCTCTCCTCTTGGTCCCTTTTGGCTTTACCAAGTTCTTGTCCCTGATGACATCCATCAAATTCTTCCTTCTTGATTTCCTAAAATGCAAAGAATTCTCTCTATCATCTCTTCACTGGTGAAGATAATAAATTGGTATTCTGCTGAATCAAAGTGGCAATGCAGAGTGAGTGGTTTATTTATCTTTCATGAACTCACCAAAAACTGAGCTCAAAGTTAATAAACATGATTGCTTATTGGCTATAAGTAGGATACTGGACTCCAGATCAAAATGATCAGAAGGTTATCATTTTGTAGTAGTGTTCTTAAGAGCAAGACAATATATTCTCACAGTATCTCTCTCCACCAAGGTTTATAAACATTTAAATGGGGTACTGTCAAACTGTTTGGGAAACATGAGAGAGTGTGAGGGGATACATGTGTCTTAAAAGGGACTGGCATTGCATTTTGAGGGAATTTCCTTACTTCTAGTGACTTCATGCTCCAGAAACTGAGATAAGCTTGATTTTGGCCTATTAATGAACAGGCTTTGTTTCAAGGGAAAAAAAACTACTTCAAAAAGTCATTAAGCTCTGGACAAAATAAAAACAAAGCCTTAAGGGAACTTGAATAAAATTGATAATGATAATAACCATAAAACTTACAAAAATAGTAATACTAATGATTATTTTAATAAGAACAATTATACAACTTATAATAATGACAATATCAATTATAATAATTATAACAATAATAATGACAATAATAATAATGATAAGTTTCTGCCTTACAGAAATGAAAATATTTGGAGATTGATTGATAGCATCATTCTCATTAAGAGCTGATAACTGTTCATTCTTACAAGGTGTTCAGACATGTACATATTAGCCACTGTATTGTGTATTTCACAGAAATATTTATTAAAATAAATTTACTGGATAATTCATCCATAATTTACAAAGTGCAGAGCAACACCATGAGTTTTAACAACCAGAAAAACAATACTATAACTTTATTTAGATTAGAAAATTGGACTCACTTGATTTTCTGATTCCTCTTTCTCAAGTCTCCTCTGTTCAATAAGTTGCTTTGCTCTGCTCAACAACAGGAAGAGAGAGTTAAAACTCATAGTAGCAGTAACTTATGAATAATTGTTTACACTTTCTTGGTAAAAGATTATTTCTACAGCTTTAATTATAGAAATAAGTTTCACAAAAGATACACTAAAGTGTTCCTGAACCCATTTAAGGTTAAGATGGTGCCTGTTAGAAGTGCATCTTAATTGGTTACAGATAAATATTACATTACAAATAAATGTATTTTGTATTCCAAAGGAAAAATTGTATTTTTTACTCAGTAATTACCTCTTGTGATCCAATTTTATTGCCACACATTTCTCTCTTGAAAATATCCCTACAATCTGAATTTAACAATCATTAGCTTTTCCTATCAATGATTTAACTGTAGCTCTTTAATTTTAGTTTATTCTGAATATTACATTACATAAGTGCAAGTTTGACATTTTCTTTTTTGAAATTATGGAGCAGAAGGAATTCTTATCCAAAATCCAACTCCCTCTTTTTGTAACAAATGCAAAAGTGTGGTTCTTTTCTGCAACCATAATTCTTGGAGCTGAAGTTTGAAAGAAGCAAATAAAACCAACAACAAAACAAACAAGCAAGTGCATCTCAGTTCTACCAATCTTAAGGAGGATCTGACAGGATTGAAATTACATGTACAGTTACATGTACCTTAGGATCTTCCCATGTTACATTCATTCTGATTGTTTCTTCATTGTCTCCTGTGGAAGATTCAAAAGCTTTTAAACTCTTTACAGTGGCCAATTTACTTTATCAACTCAAATGATAACACTAAATTACCCTGTTATACTCTCCCACCAACCCAACACCACAGTTTCTTCAGAAACTTACCCCTTTATTCAACTGACCTCCACAATTGCTTTCAATAACTTATTTCATGCAGAAGTATGCCACTTATAGACCAGTTTTGCTACCCTAATCTCACTCTGTGAGAGTGATTAGTTATTTATCATATTTATCAAGCAATAGTTTTTGGAAGGAAGAAGTCTTAAAGACATGTCAGCAAAATGCAGCCATTTATCATCACCTAGCTGGATGGAATGAAAAAAAATGCTACTTTGCGAAAACACAAATAACCTGTCAAATAAAGAACTAAATTGTGTCCTTGAATGACCAAGAATGGCAACCTATGATTTTTGTTTAGGCACTTTTATTGGAATGTACCCCTAATCATCTTAAAGTGAAGTCTCTCAGTACTAAATTAACCCTTTCACTGCCAAGATTTCATTAGTAATTCTTCTTACTGTATTTCATACAATTCTTTAGATTTCATTTGGAGAATTTGGTATTCAATCAACTAATAATCTCATTATTTATATTTTTCTCTAATCTCATCACTATCCTGCTTGATATTGTATTGATATCGTAAGGAGAAATTCTGTCTTGGTCACTCATGGGAGTTAAAGGGTTAATACAATTATTATTCTTATAATACATCACTAACAAAGTCACGAGCTGGACAGAAGAAGTGGCCAAGCTAGCCGAGTTTGCACTGTTACAGCCTCAAGAATGCTATGTTGCTTTCACCTTTGGCCTGAAACACCGCTGGACCTATTTCCTTCCAACACTGCCTGATATTCAGGATCTTCTACGGAGGAACCTCTGGAGAATGCAATATCAAATGTCCTTATTCCAGCTATAACGGAACGTAGCTGCAGTTCAAGTGGGCGACATGTTCTGGTGGCCTTAGAATCACGAACCCCTGTCATGAAGCAAATCGTGAGGATCAATCGTCAGTGAAAGTAACCATGCCATCAATTGAGAAAATCGTTCCCCAAACACATGAGCTACCAGACGACTTCAATCACAAGCGGCCCAAACTTCAGCTGTGAGATGATCACCTTGCGAAATAAGAGTTATGGTAAAATTATAATTTGTATGGGAATATTTACGACCTCTCTTAGGAATATAAAAATACAGTCAAATACTCAATAAAAATACCTCACCTTACTTCCACAGTGTATCGCTTGTTATCTGACAGCTTACTATTTTGAAAAGAAGCCATTTTAGCGAGTTATCCATTTCTAGGTTTACTACATAAGAGAAGCTCAAGGCTGCACACTCCATTCTCGAACGTCCGATCCTATATATAGAAGCAAAAAATCCAACGCAGAATCCAAGACATATGCTTTAGTTTCATTTCAATTCACTAGAAATTCAATCTTCCCCGTGAAACCGACGCTAAGCCGCACTTTCCTTCAAAAATTTCCAGTTTAGATGTTTCAGATAGCAGCACGACTCACGACCGTTGAAAACCAGCTTGTTAACCCTGCCTCCTTTGCAAACTTTGCCTCGCCGGGGACCACACCGTCACTTAGCACCAGTGGTTTGATGCCAAGTGACGGTGTGGTCCCCGGCAGGTATGGAAAAGGAATGCAACAGATACAATAGCTGACTAGCTGAGCTAATTTCAACTAAGAAAGGAGAGAGTTGTTCGGAGTTAATATTCATGTTTGTAAATAAAGCACAAGTTGTTTTCGTTCTACAGTTGAACCCTGGTAACTCGAATTGCCAACGGAAATTGAAATTACTTCGAGTTATCGGGCTTTCGAGTTAGAAGGGTTTTGAACAAAAGACCAGAAACACTTGATTTAAGAGGTTCAATGCTTATACACGTATTATTGTGACACTGAATTTTGAGGGGAAGAAGAAACATGTCATTGATTCAAGGCGAAAAAACGCTTCCCTACATACGGGGGATCAGAGTCGAAATAACATGTCCCACAACATGTCACAACCAACGATGAAAAACATTTTTTGTTATATTTTGCTTGTTTTGCCTATAAGTGAATTGAGTTTGAATCATTGTTTATTTCCTATAGTGTGATCGGTTAATTTTGTTTAAGTGATCCTGGTAACAGTAGTGAACTTATGAGAGTACTGCGATCTAGATGTGTTCTATTCTGAGCTTGTAGAATCATGGAAGAAGATACTTTATTCATTAAGCCTTTTAACTCCCTTTGATGACCAGGACAGAATTTCTCCTTACACTACCAATACAATATCAAGCAGACAAGTGATGAGAATAAAAAAAATCAATTAGAGGATGATTAGTTGATCCAATACCAAATTCCCTAAACTAGCATCATAAGAATCGTATGGCAGACAGCAAGACGACTTACTAATAATGAAATCTATCAAATCTAGGGAGGGAAAAGATTAATTATAACAACAATAATTCTAATGATAGTAATTCCTCTCTGTTGTCGGCAGCGCGCTTCAGCACTCATCGGTTCTCCAGTGCAGAGGAAGAGAGGGCTTCTTTGATTTATAACTACAAGCCAACTGCTGTACAAGACTACTTGCCTTTTATACAAGCTTACTTTTTTTAAGGTCAACGACGACCAATAGAAATCTTGTGTTGAAATGAACACTTAAACGAACAACAGGCGAGTAAACCGAACGGCGGTAAACGTTTTCACGATCGCCAATGGAAATTACCGCCAACAAAACCTTTTTCTATCTCTGTATTTTCCACATTAGTTAAACAATACTAACAATATACAGGGAATATGAATTTGTGAAAAGTTTAGTTTTTGTAATTATTCATCTTTCTATGCCCTATTGTAAAATTAAGTTTATTATCCTTTTAAATTAAACTATAAAAATAACAAATCTGCGTGCGTGCGTTTCGCGGTCGTTTCTATCGGAGAGGGGGGAGGCGGGGGGGGGTGTGGGAGGGGCTAGAGCATCAGGTTTGTCGTTGAGATTCATCTCAGTTGAATTTAAGTCAGATTAAGCTAAAACATTCAATGATATCAGTTAGGGATATATTTTAGTGCATCACCTTCGTCCACCTAACTCTCCAATGGTTATTTCTGAATCCTCACTGAGATATCCTCCAATGGGAACAAGCGATTTAAGAAACTCTGAGGGGACTACCTCAGGGACATATGCGGGATTTTGTTTCAAACCAGAATCCTTTCTTCTTTTTTAAACAGAAACAAACAAAATATATCCAAATCTACCATATTTATGATAGTTAAAGTTACCTTTTGAACCATATTTACAGAACTGCCTCGAAAGTTCCGTGAAGGTAGCATAACACCCAATCTGCACAATCCCTCTGAGCATTAGACAGCTTACTCGAACTCCTCTGTATCCCATGCTGTTTTACGCTTGCCTAAACAATTCAAATACACGGAGTTCCATTGGCCTTCGTAAAAAATTCAGCCTGATTTCCAAGAACTTTCTTTTATCTGGCCTTCCTGGAATCAAGAGTTTAAACTTAAACCCTGCAGGGTCGTTACGAATGTTGGTTCAAAATTCTTCCGAACTGAGGAACCAAGAGACAAAAGGGTTCGTATTCTTTCCGATCAGTAAAATTCCATGACTTTTCAGGACATTTTACAAGACTTTGTTGATGTTTTCCACACCCTTTTATCAAAAAGTTGCTTTCACGGATAGAACGCGATCATTGGATAGGGGCATTTCTTCATTGCTGATTATTTTGGGAAAATCCGCAGGAAAACTTGCACGACTTTCTTGGTTGACGATAAGTTCATTAACAACTGTGACCATAGGTTTTCCAGCTGCAACATATTTTCAGGTTTTCCGACAGGAACGCTGTCAAATCGGGGGAAAATAGCTCGGTGGGAAAGGAAACTCGATATCATTTCCTGGCACACGGAAATCAACCTCAATGGCGTTCTTGCGGAGCTCAAGGAGACAAGGACTTTTAAAATGGTCAGCATTCGGTTCCAACAGTAATTTATTTGGCATTTTCGTAATAAGTAATGGTGATAAGACTTAGTGGAGTCCAATTCGGTCTGTAATCATACGAGTGATAACAGGATTCCCTGTGAATGCGGGGAGGTGTACATCGGAGAGACTGGACACAGAATTAAGGAGCATGGTCGAGACATCCAACTCGCCCGTACCGAGACCTCCGCCGTTTCACAGCATGCCCACAACACCGGACACAAGCCACTCTGGAACGAAATAAAGTTTGTCGATCGTGACCCTTATTACTACACGCGCAGGGTCAAAAAGGCAATTCATATAAGACTTCACATTGACAACATCAACGGGGATAGTGGAATAGAAATTCTAGAAGTGTGGATGCCCACGATCAAAAAACACAACAACAGGAGAGCCGTGCGACAGCGGACCGCGGAGGAGTAAATCACTGAGTGAAACAGCAAGGATCGAGATGCACCAATCAGAGCTGTTGAAAAACAACCAGTCACAGCAGGGCATCATGCTTTATAAGATCGCGCATGACCAGTCGACCTCATCGCCTGAAGAAGAATAGCAGTATGCAGTCGAAACGTCGCGATCTACATCAAACGTGACTACATTGTGAGACAAACGGAAAACTTAGCTTTTATTGTTATTCACCACGATGACTAATCACGGTCTTTTTTATGAAATTATTCTAAGAATATAATGTCCAAGTAAAGTAACAGGAAGATAACTTATTCGATTGATAAGAACTCGTGAAATTATCGCAAGGATATCTTTTCAGCTGCACGCCTGTAATTATGAGTGGAAAAACGGCTCGATAAAATTGAAAACGTAGGATGTTTGGCTACTAAATGAACTAAGGTTACGATAGCATCGTCAAAGGAACAGTTTCCAAACATAATAAGTGCAGTTTGTGCTCGTTAATTGAAAAGCTAAACTACTGTTGGCTTTAAAACTTTTCTTTACAGCAAAGCTGTCTAAGGTTAAAAAAAAAATTGCTAGATAAGAATTGCCTGTTGTTTGACAAAAGATAAAGAATATCCTGATTTAAACTTATAAAAAGAGGAGGACAGCCAATCGAAACAAGTAAAAACACGAACAAGTCTATTCCACCTATTCGGAAAGGTTTTGATGTCAAGAAACATGCTGAACACGGACTGTTACGAACAATACTAATTCGAAATTTAATCTCGTGAGTTGTATTCAAATCTTCCAGTTATGTTACGAAATAATTCCTTTCATTGTCTAGTCTGGGAATCTCAGTAATTCAAGAAAATGACTTGTAACTAATTCTTACGATTTCTGTCCTCCTATTTCTCACTCGTTATTTGTCTTTCGCTTTTTAGAGGATTTCACACTACTTTCAAACGAGCTTTGACTCAAGGCATCGAACCTATCGTTTATAACTGCAGCAAGACTATCTCCACCTGCACGTTTCCGGGAACGGTAGTTAGTGGCAGGAACATGACACTCCTCGGCTTCCTGTAAAATGTCCTGAGCCGAATAAACAGACTCACGAGACTTTTGGTAGCTGGTACAGACGCATTTTTAACACGCACAGGTCGTGGCTTTTTGACCTAAGTTATTGTAGCTAGTTGCCACGTCTACATTCTCAGGTTCTAGCTTTTTCTTTTTAATACTCAGAGCAAGTTCGTGATACTCCTTGGCCTTCTCAAAGTCGCCCAGTTGTTCGTAAACAGAACCCAAGTTATTGTAACTAGTTGCCACTTTTACATTCTCAGGTCCTAGCTTTTTCTTTTTAATACTCAGAGCAAGTTCGTGATACTCCTTGGCCTTCTCAAAGTCGCCCAGTTTCGAGTGCACCAGACCCAAGTTATTGTAACTAGTTGTCACTTGTACATTCTCAGGTCCTAGCTTTTTCTTTTTAATACTCAGAGCAAGTTCGTGATACTCCTTGGCCTTCTCAAAGTCGCCCAGTTTGTCGTGCACCAGACCCAAGTTATTGTAACTAGTTGCCACTTTTACATTCTCAGGTCCTAGCTTTTTCTGTTTAATACTCAGAGCAAGTTCGTGATACTCCTTGGCCTTCTCAAAGTCGCCCAGTTTGTCGTGCACCAGACCCAAGTTATTGTAACTAGTTGCCACTTCTACATTCTCAGGTCCTAGCTTTTTCTGTGTAATACTCAGAGCAAGTTCGTGATACTCCTTGGCCTTCTCAAAGTCGCCCAGTTGTTCGTGAACAGAACCCAAGTTATTGTAACTAGTTGCCACTTGTACATTCTCAGGTCCTAGCTTTTTCTGTTTAATACTCAGAGCAAGTTCGTGATACTCCTTGGCCTTCTCAAAGTCGCCAAGTTTTTCGTAAACCAAACCCAAGTTATTGTAACTAGTTGCCACTTGTACATTCTCAGGTCCTAGCTTTTTCTGTGTAATACTCAGAGCAAGTTCGTGATACTCCTTGGCCTTCTCAAAGTCGCCCAGTTTGTCGTGCACCAGACCCAAGTTATTGTAACTAGTTGCCACTTCTACATTCTCAGGTCCTAGCTTTTTCTGTCTAATACTCAGAGCAAGTTCGTGATACTCCTTGGCCTTCTCAAAGTCGCCCAGTTCGTCGTGCACCAGACCCAAGTTATTGTAACTAGTTGCCACTTGTACATTCTCAGGTCCTAGCTTTTTCTGTTTTATACTCAGAGCAAGTTCGTGATACTCCTTGGCCTTCTCAAAGTCGCCCAGTTTTCGTGCACCAGACCCAAGTTATTGTAACTAGTTGCCACTTCTACATTCTCAGGTCCTAGCTTTTTCTGTGTAATACTCAGAGCAAGTTCGTGATACTCCTTGGCCTTCTCAAAGTCGCCCAGTTTGTCGTGCACCAGACCCAAGTTATTGTAACTAGTTGCCACGTCTACATTCTCAGGTCCTAGCTTTTTCTGTCTAATACTCAGAGCAAGTTCGTGATACTTCTTGGCCTTCTCAAAGTCGCCCAGTTTGCTGTGCACCAGACCCAAGTTATTGTAACTAGTTGCCACTTCTACATTCTCAGGTCCTAGCTTTTTCTGGTAAATACTCAGAGCAAGTTCGTGATACTCCTTGGCCTTCTCAAAGTCGCCCAGTTTGTCGTGCACCAGACCCAAGTTATTGTAACTAGTTGCAACAGTAGTGTGGTTCGGTCCAAACTTTTGGAGAAAAACTTGTAATGAAAATTCATAAAATTTCTTTGCGGCCTGAAAATGACAATGGTTCTCACATATCTCGCCGAGCTTTTCCATTTCAGCCGGGACGATTTGGGGAAGAGCAACTTTGGAAAGTACGTTTTCAGAACTAAGAATGAAATGTTTTAAATGTAGGGCAAGGGCGTAACTTTGAAAAATTGAATCTGACGATTCCTTCGGTAAGTTGTCATCTATGAACTGGTTAAACGCCGCAACAGCGCTATTCAAAGTTTTCATGTGCCGGCTCTCCGGATAGCCCTTAATCAAAGACTTTACGACCTCACGGACAACCTGATGTATCCGGATGTGGAAACCAAACTCATCTTCATGTGTTAAAATTAACGAACATCTTTGGAGTTTCATGATTATCATCTCTTCGTCTTTTATTCCTTTATCGACGCTTATGATATAATTCACGACGATATCCACATTCAAGGGCTGTGACGAAAGGAGGGAGAGAAAACTGAATGCATGATCTATGATACCGTCTGATTGCATCACTTCTTTAACAGCCAGTGTTGTTGCTGTTGTCATCGATTTCTTGTAACATGGGTTGGTCTCTGTAAGTAGAGTCTCTGTCGCATCACGTTGCCCTTCCTCCACTTTCCTCAGATAGTCATTCCATCCAAACTCTGAGAAACGTTTGCTCTGTCGGAGTTGCTTCACATAGGTGGCTGTGCTTGCTAAAGCAAGAGGTTGGTAGTCGAGTTCTCTAGCTACTAGTTCTTCTATCTCACTATCGCTGATACCAGAAATCAGGGCCAACAAAGAACACGCCTCTTGGGACTGCATACCCTCGCTTACTGAGATGTGTCGAATGGAAGTGCTTTTCAACGGTATACATGTATTATCTTGGGTTGTGATCAACAGATACCCCCTTCCCCACTGTCCATGTCCTTGCTGGGGTAAATAAACATGCATTTCAGATAGGTTTTTCACGTTGTCAGCCAACAGAAGCCAGGATTCGTACTGACCAATCTTTGAGCTGATTAAGGATATCATGCTGTTAATCTTGTCCTTTGTCGTCAAATCTTTGGAGATATGGATTTGTGTAATCGCATCTTCGGGGCACTTTATTTGTCGAGCGAACGTGATGTAAGAATCCAAAAGTGTGCCTAGCGTCTCGGAATTCATTGTCATTACAAACACTTCGGAGCAGGAATCTTCTTGGGCTTTCTCGTAAAATCTCTTGGCTACAAGACCTGCCAGTTGGGATTTACCGCTGCCAGGATTCCCGGAAATATACAAGATACTTAAGTTGCTCGCATCAGCTCGCTTTAACTCCTGCAGTTGTTTTGTGATATCAGCAGCCTCAACATCGCGACTTGCTATGTCGTGTGAAGGTTTAGGAGGAAGAATGCAAAACGGGGAGGTGTCGTTCAGTAGTTGTTCTGAAAGAACCTGTCGTTGAAGTTCGGATTTCTTCAGCTGATCTTCAAGGCTCTTCAGTTGTTTTTCTTTCTCTTGTAACTGATCTTCAAGGCTCTTTCGTCTCTCTTCTGTTTCCTTTAAGTTATCTCTAAGGTTTCTTTGTCGTTCTTCTGTTGTCTTAAGCTGGTCTGTAAGGTTCCTGCGTTTCTCTTCTGCTTCTTGTAGTTCATTTTCTTTTTTCTGTAAGAGATCCTCAAGGCCCATTCGTTGTTCTTCTGTTTCTTTAATCTTATTTTTAAGAACCTGTAGTTGTTTTTCAGTTTCCTTGAGCTGATCCTCAAGACAAATTTGTTGTTTTCCTGTTTCCATCAGCTGATCTTCCAGATCCTGGCGTTGACTCTCTATCTTCTTCAGCTGATCTTCAAGGTCATTGTTGTCTTTCTCTTTTTTGTCCAAGTCTTTCTTTAAGTCTTTCACTTTGTCTAGGAGATCTCTTAACTGCTCTGTCGGAAACGTCTTTTGGTTTGTGATCTCTTGAATTTCTACAGTGGAAAGACCTAGTGCTTGGAATGCAGCAAATACTTTGGCAGTAGCATTTTGAAAGTCGAACTTCGAAAGTTGGCCTTGTGGCATATGAGCAAACTCTTCATTGCGAAATTTTCTGAGACCATCGATATTCGTCTTCACCACCGTATTTAGACTGTAGATGCAATCTGAGTAGAGAATAGCGTAAAACAACATAGTACAATCCCATTCCGCTCTATTTCCCTTAATCATGGTGGACAACATATGCTTGTTCCTCCTTTGGTTTCGCGGGGACTCTTTACGGTAAAAGTCTTTCCCGTTACTAGGATCATCTCTCCATTCTCCAAGAGTCTTCCCGTAACGACTGTCCCATTCTTGTTTGAAAATTGTTCGCAAACCTTCGGTTAGGATATCAGTTGTGACGTGACAAATCTTGTAATAGTTTAGTTGCTCATCAGTATATTCTTTTGCGGCGTGCATGTCTTTTGTAGGCGTGTTTTGTAAGCCTTTGTTAAAAAATACTAATATCAGTTAACAGTCAAATAAAATTACCAAATCTACAACTTCAAAGAGTAATTAAACTACTTCAAGGTAGAACAAAAAAATGGTAACAGAATATTTAAGACCAATGCTAGCCCCAAAAGAGCTCCGTCCTGACCTTCGCGGGTGTACTTTGCGGGTGTCCTTCGGGGAAAAAATCGTATGCGCGCTAGTTTCTCTAAAAAACCTAGCAAACCATGCATCAGAAGAAAGGTTAATAGATGCAGTTTATGATAAAAATATAACTTAAGGGAGCTCTCCTTTTAGGAAGTATCAGGAGCCGGTAAGACGTGAAACGACTGAGGGTCCTTCTATTGAATTTATTGGGTACCAGATGCCGTAGCACAGGCAAATGGCTGCACAGTCTGAATCACAAGTCATCAATCAACAAAAGCGCGTCAGAGTTTCTCAGTAATCTAATCGATTGCCTAGAAATCGGTATCTAACGTTGGAGTAGCTTAAAATATGCAAGGCGTGTTGCGTAAATGGACGCCACGAGACAAATATTTCAAGTATCAAAACTTCCCGACACTCTGTCGTTTTTCATTATTCCTGGAATGTTTCAGTGAAATTTGACGGAAATCGGTCAAATCTACACACCCGATAAATTCGCTCAAAGTATATGCATTCCTCCCAAAATCAAACGAGAGATTTTAGCCTATAAACGTCTGCAAACAACTCGCATCGCCCAGAATTCAGCGACATATCCGGGACTTTCATTGAGACGCTGGCGCGAAATTTAAAAGCTAATTAGAAAATGATTGTCAAACAATAAAGGAAAAGGGCTGAAAATGTCGAGGAAGGCTTACGTTCTCTTCGTTTACGGATAAACTACTTTTCAAATGCTACTTTTACCATATGGCTTTTAAAGAAGAAAGTTCAATTGAACAGTGTATATCATTCTCACTTTGTTCTTGCGCTTTCAGAAGAGGTCGCAAATTTGCCTTGAAAATTGACTATGTTAGCATCCTGCTTGTATGAGAAGTCGATCTCAGCGCACTTTTAGGCGTAATTTATCTTCACTCAATTGCTAGATTTCTCTTTTACCATATGGTTATTTTTATTTGACATTCTAGAAAGCGTCATAGAAATTTTCAAGGGATTCCAAACTTTGGAAGTAGTCGCAAAACGCGAATTTCGAAAACGTTTGCTAAGCATCGTAGTGTTCTATCCAAATTTGTCCTTTGGAGACCCCCACGAGAATACAAGTGACCTATTTTAAACTTCCCGCGAGAATATCAAGGTATTAAAGTAAATGGTTTGAACCCAGGAGTATCAGTAGTTTGTGTAGTGTGATCGTCCGGGTGTGTGTAGTTCTGAAAAGAACTGTTGTTGGTGACTGACGTTTCGACTATCTGTGCGATAGTCATCTTCAGAGTCAAGTGAGGAGTAGTTGTCAGTCGATGATGTTATAAGGTCTGGTCTGTTGAACGTGATTGGTCTGTTTAGCCGTGATGTGATTGGCTGGAAGACTCGTGTAGAGTTGTTAACAGTCATTGGTCGGTTTCGATCCGTCTGTTGTTTGTCGGTCTTTTTGTCGGTTTGTTCACGTCGTTAATGAGTCGTTTGTAAGGTGCTGGTAATTGTTGACATCTGTTGAGAGGCGTCTGTTCTAAGTTAGTGAACCAGCTTTCCAGAGTCAGTCGTTGAAAATAGTTTGTACTGTAGGTTAAGCATTTAGCAGAGTCCCAGTCGATTCTGTGATTAGTTTGTCGGTGATGTTCAGAAATGTGATTGTTTGCATCGCCATTTCTAGTTGCTCGTTTGTGTTCAGTTAGTCGCGTGTTAAGGTTTCTACCAGTCTCACCAATGTAGGAGGCCTGGCAGTCGGAGCATTCGATCTTATAAATCGCTCCCTGTCTGTTGTTGGGTTCGTCTTTGTTACGAATTACTTAAACGTGACCCGACGCCAGCACTACAACGCAAACTCAACAACAAACTACTTACGCTCAAAAAGACTAAAGCCTTTGACACTCAACGCTACTACCGGCTGAGGTGCTCTGTACCACAACCACCTAAACTTTACGGACTACCGAAACTACACAAACCTGGGATACCTATGCGACCTATAGTCTCATTCTGTGGGTCCCCGACGTACCAACTGTCGAAATACCTTACGACGATACTGCAACCACTGACTGACAAATCGAGACGTAAACTACAATCAACTGAGAACTTTATTGACGCTATCAAAGACGTACAGATACCTGACGACTACAAACTTGTGTCTTTTGATGTGAAATCACTGTTCACCAGTATTCCACTTCAATTGGCTCTACAGTGTACTGAAACCGCCATCCAACAGTCTACTGATGCACTACCATTACCGACAGAAGACATTATGGACCTACTTAACCTCTGCCTTACATCGACTTACTTTCAGTACAACGGGAAACACTACAAGCAGTTGCACGGAACAGCTATGGGGTCGCCGGTCTCCGTTGTTGTCGCAGAAATTGTGATGCAAAACATCGAGGAACGCGCCCTTGCAACTTGCCGACAAACCATACCGCTTTGGTTACGCTACGTTGACGACACATTTACCGCCGTACACAAAGACGAAATTGACGCTTTTCACAATCACCTTAACGAACAAAACACCGACATTCAGTTTACCAGGGAGATCGAAGAAGACGGCAAGCTTCCTTTTCTCGACTGTTTGGTAAGCCGAAACAACAACGAACTACGAACAACAATATACAGAAAACCGACGCATACCGACAGACTTCTTGACGAATCATCCTACAACCCGACTTCCCACAAAGCTACGACTATCAAGACATTGACAAGACGAGCGCAACTTGTTTGCAACACACCGGACAGTTTATCTGACGAAAACAAGTACCTTGACCGCGTTTTTGACAAAAACAACTACAACACTGACTTCATTAGACGAAACACTCACAGAGTTACCGACACTACAGAAACTAACAGGGACTCCACATCTATCACGACTACAGCTGCTATACCCTACATCAAAGGCACTTCTGAGGCTATCGCGCGGATCCTACAACCTTACAACATTCGCGTAGCTCACAGGCCTATTACTACTTTACGACATTTGCTGACCAACGTTAAAGACAAAGACGAACCCAACAACAGACAGGGAGCGATTTATAAGATCGAATGCTCCGACTGCCAGGCCTCCTACATTGGTGAGACTGGTAGAAACCTTAACACGCGACTAACTGAACACAAACGAGCAACTAGAAATGGCGATGCAAACAATCACATTTCTGAACATCACCGACAAACTAATCACAGAATCGACTGGGACTCTGCTAAATGCTTAACCTACAGTACAAACTATTTTCAACGACTGACTCTGGAAAGCTGGTTCACTAACTTAGAACAGACGCCTCTCAACAGATGTCAACAATTACCAGCACCTTACAAACGACTCATTAACGACGTGAACAAACCGACAAAAAGACCGACAAACAACAGACGGATCGAAACCGACCAATGACTGTTAACAACTCTACACGAGTCTTCCAGCCAATCACATCACGGCTAAACAGACCAATCACGTTCAACAGACCAGACCTTATAACATCATCGACTGACAACTACTCCTCACTTGACTCTGAAGATGACTATCGCACAGATAGTCGAAACGTCAGTCACCAACAACAGTTCTTTTCAGAACTACACACACCCGGACGATCACACTACACAAACTACCAATATCAAGGTATGTTAAGCTCCGCCTCCGCAAACAATCGCGCACACGCCGCCTAATTAGTATTAAAATTGAGGTGGTAACTGGACAATGCTTAAAAAACTGTAAAAGCTTTTAAGATATGATCGCTGAGATCGCTGCAGAAATATTCAGCAATCGTTACTATCATATGGAAACCACATTCATATTATTGTCGCGAGATAGACTCTAGTTCTATCTCGACGATCGTCGCACTCACAAGCCGGTTGTCGGAAGCATCGCTCATATTTTTCTCTACCGATTGAAGCGATTTTAACGAAGTAGATTCTTCATGATACTTTTTTTCTAAATTTTTCTTTTTTCTATTTTCTATTTTCATGATACTAATTTTTATAATTCTGATAACATTTTGACCAACGGGAGTCTGTCAGTCCATATAAGAATTCGCTGCAACGAATTTGCTAAACGCTTTGTTAAGAGCGTGGCTATTGTTAATTATTGCTATTGTTCACTTTATGTCACCTTGGGATTTACTTTACGCATCCAACCGTTTGATTAACAGCAGCTGAAATCTGCAAAGAGACTCATGTATTCCCAAAGCTTTACCTACTGACCAATCACAACCGACTAGTTCAGGATATGCAAATTATTATGCTGCCCGCTGATTAAATGGGCACTGCAAGTACATGTCGCGAAAGACAATAGCATTCTGGGCGATGGGCTATGCCAGGAGACTATCTCGCTTCCTGGAACCGCAAACCAGAGGGACAACGGGACCTCATGGCTTCATTGACAATGGATTAAGATTTTCTGGGAAAAAGTAAACCATGAGAGACATATTTTTTGGTCTCGATCGCTCAGTGGAGCGTTAATATTTAACCCTCAACCGCCCCCCCCCCTCCCCCCCTTCTCTGAATTAATATTTCAGTGGTAGAAATGGCAGAGTGATGAAGCAAAATATCGCTCATAATCACTCCAGGTTGACTATTGCCATTCCACCTTGCACTGCTTATACCGTGATTGCAGCATTCCCGCGTGCGTAAAGTGCTTTTAACTTATGGGAAACAGACGCATGTTACGCCAAAACCGCGTGTAGCTGAGGAGGCCGATTACTCGCAATTTCGCGTAGCTTTGAATTTCCCTTTTGTTTTTTAGTACACGCATATGCTTTTTTTTTTTACACGGATGCGATAAAAACTAATTGGAAAAGCACCTCTTTGAAATAGGAAGTCGTCATGTGTTTTTAGCGAAAAAGATCGTCAAGTGATCAGAGCAACAC